AGACAGTAATAACATCTAGTTTTTCTACATCCACCATTTTCTTGAGCTCCGTCATTTTGCTGAGTAGGCTGCAAGCATTTGTGTAGCACGTCTTTAATTCTGTGGAGAACTTTCTCTTAACACCCAGAGTAGTTTGTGGATAGTTTTCCTCCAAACTTTTACAACTTGTAAACCCTTATGTAAGAGGCTTTTCACTGATTCGGGGTCGCTCATTTATTTATACTCCTGCAGATCGTCTCTGTTTTCTTAATTTTCTTTCCCTGTGTGACTGTGAACCGATCACTCACCTTATTTTGTCTCTTGATCACACAATCTTCACCGCTCAGAATTGGCTCCCCGATAATTTGTTTAGCGCTGATATGTAGATTCACCTACCTTTGTGTTGTCTATAATTAGTTTCTTTTCGGAGTGCTTTTACTTTTTCCTTGTAACAACGCCCACATCGGTGTGCTTTTTATCCGCTTCCCCAACCGGGTCCACCTTTATGGACTCATCCAAATCCAAAGCTGGTCTCATGATAACGCTCTCTATTTCCTCGAAAGCAGAATTCTGTTCATTTACTGCTGCCTGTTTATCTAAGGGCAATGTTCTAGCTATGTTCAGAAGCTCAATCAGCTCAAGAATAAGCAGATACTTTATAGAACATGCTTTGCACAGCCAACGTGATAATGGATTGCAACACCCTTTTTACGCAGCCGGTGTGAGTTCGGCGAACTTATCTTGAAATAACATACTGCCACTGTCACATTGCATTCTGTCATCGACAGGGAAATAACATACAGGAATGCACAACGATATTCTACTTGCTCCATAATTATGTTTTGTGATTTCACAGAGAAAACTGATCTCTAGCAAAGTGCCTTTTAAGATTTGATAAGTGATAGACGCTGAACACAAAGAAAAACAGACTGAGGATGATACAGGTATTCAGTGTTTGACAACGCTTCTACCAATAACACCTTCTAATATGCTTTGTTCCCACCGAGAGAAATCAAAAGACAGAGTCGAGGAGATCGGAAGAGTGTATTTGGCAATAACCAATATATCGGGAATCTCTGATCTAATCTGGCTAGTGATTGCGATTGTTGTTGAGCACAGCGTGACAGCACGTGATCTGGTGCGGATGCATGACCGAGCGCCTTCAGCTAGATGAGTCCACTAAAACATATGGTCAGCATCCAATGTCGAAAACCTATTGAGCTATTTAGTTTGGGGATTTATTTACCGCTACAGATCACTCCCCCCCTAGTGGGGCAGTGATGACCCTAAGACGTGGCCAGCCAGAAGTTTAAACCCAACGAGTTTGTCGTTGGTAAACACTCTTCTGATAGCTTACTAAATTTAGCAGCGTCTGGTCGTCTTTCCTTACTATATGGGACCGGAGTACAACATAGTAAAAAAAAAAATGTACAATGAAAGTTTCGTATCCTCATAAACGTCATCGTTCTTTTCCAGCCGTCCTGGAAAAGAAGAAAGAAAATGTAAGTGCATGTCGAAAATACACTCGTATGTGCGTAAAAAAAAGGGAAAATAAACTCATGAAAACGTAACAGCGTTAAAAAAATCGTTTTTTTTTGTTGTTTTTTTTTTTTAAAAATAGAATTGAAAATATATAAGCCTATTTTAAAAAAAATTTTTAAATAATATAGAAAATGTCGAGAAGTGCCTTACGTGCAATAGTCATTTAAATGTTCTGGAAATCTTACTCTTCTTCCAGAACGTGTCGTTTTAAGTTTATTTTCGGATACTGTCGAAGTATCATCGTGTGTGTTGGTTGTCGGATGAGGTATTATAAGTATCGGAGTCGTGTCGTTCAATTGTACCGAAGGAAAATCCACGTAGATAGGATTTCCTTCTAAATACGCTGCTTTGAGGCGATCGATGCTGATGCTATCGTTGGTTCCGTTCTTATCGATTATATAGTACTTCGGTTCGCGTTGAAGAACTTTGAAAGGTCCTTCGTATGCTGATTCGAAAGGTCGTCGATGCGAGTCTCGACGAACGAAAACGTGTGTACTATATCGTAACTCAGGTTGAATGAAAACATCAGTTGATTGAGGTCGAGTGGAAGCAGGTTTAACTGAACGCATTGCGTTTGTAAGCCTGTTCGTGTAGGAGGTTAGATCCATGCTCATTGAAGAGGATGAAGGATCCACGAATTCTCCTGGAAGTCGAAGTGTCGTTCCATAAACGAGTTGAGCCGCAGTGTATCCAATGTCAGCTTTCACTGCATTGCGGATACCTAGTAAGACGAGTGGAAGAGCGTCGGTCCACTGTGAAACGTTTGCAGCTGATAGTGAAGCTTTTAGTTGTCGGTGAAAGCGTTCTACCAACCCGTTTGCTTGTGGGTGGTAGGCGGTCGTTCGGAAGCGAGTGCTTCCTAATAGTGTGGTCAGACGACGGAAAAGTTCAGACTCAAACTGACGTCCGCGGTCTGTGGTGATGGTTGAAGGGCAACCAAAGTTTGCTACCCATCGTTCGACGAAGGTTCGGGCCACTGTTTCAGCAGTGATGTCCTTGATAGGTACTGCTTCTGGCCATCGAGTGAAACGGTCTACACAGGTTAAGAGGTAAGAGTATCCATTTGAATCTGGTAAAGGTCCTACCAAATCCAGATGAACATGGTCGAAACGAGCATCGGGAGTTTTAAATGAGCCTAAGGGACATTTATTGTGTCTGATGACCTTAGATTTTTGGCAGCTTACACAGGAGCGTGTCCACTCCCTCACGTCTTTATTCATACCAGGCCAGCAAAAGCGTTCTGCTATGAGCTTGATGGTTGCACGAACACCTGGATGAGAAAGTTTGTGCAATGTGTTGAAGACATTGCGTCGATAATGTTTCGGAACGATTGGGCGATCTCTACCTGTAGATGTGTCACAAAGTAAGGTTTCCTTACCTGTTCCCATCTGTTTGATGCGTAGTTTAAGGGTTGTGGACGATAACTCTTGCTGAAGATCAGTGTCTTCTTTTTGAAGCTGGGCGAGTTTAAGAAGGTCGATTCCTTGGAAACTGTTCAAGGAGTTTATTCGAGACAAGGCGTCTGCAACCACATTGTTTGCTCCAGAAATATGTTGAATATCTGAAGTAAACTGCGAAATGTAGTCCAGTTGTCGAGACTCACGGGGAGAGTACTTGTCAGAAGGAGAGCTTAACGAGAAAGTGAGCGGTTTATGGTCAGTGAATAGAGTGAATTCGCGGCCTTCGATATAGTGTTGAAAATGCCGTACAGCACAATACATAGCTAGGAGTTCCCTACCGAATGTGCTGTATCTCGATTCGGTGTCTAGCAACCGTCTAGAAAAAAATGCCAAGGGTTGCCAGGAGTTGTTAATCCATTGTTGTAAGACTCCTCCGATTGCCGAGTCGGATGCGTCTACTGCGATACTAATGGGTGCTTCAGTGTCCTGATGTGCGAGCATTGTTGCTTTAGCGATCAGTTCCTTAACTGTGGAGAATGCTTTTCGTGCGGTGTCGTCCAAATTAATGGATTTCGCATTTCCACGCAGTTGGTCAGTAAGAGGTTTCATAAGTAATGCGCATTTCGGTATGAAGCGTCTATAGAAACTTACCAGGCCGTTAAACGTGCGTAATTGCTTGACGTTGGTCGGTTCTGGGTAATCCAGAATGGCCGCCACTTTGGTCCTAAGAGGTCGAATGCCTTGAGCATCGATAGTGTGTCCTAGGAAATCTAACGAATCGGTTCCGAATTGGCATTTCTGAACGTTTACAGTAATGCCATGTTTTTGTAATCGTTCGAAAACAAGATCCAGATGCTTGAGATGTGATTCTCTGTCCGGACTTGCGATTAAGCAGTCATCAACATACGCATGTACGAAGTTGAGACCTCGAAAGACGTCGTCTATGAATCTTTGGAAAGTTTGCGCAGCGTTTCTTAGACCGAACGGCATTCGCAAAAATTCATAGAGTCCGAAAGGAGTTATGATAGCTGTTTTTGGTATGTCGTTTGTAGCCATAGGGATTTGGTTATACGCTTTAACCAAGTCGATTTTCGAAAAGACAGTTGTACCTTTCAAGGTAGCTGTCAAATCGTGAATGTGTGGCAACGGGTAACGATCGGGAATGGTTTTTGCATTCAATCGCCGATAGTCACCAGTTGGACGCCAATCGTTGCTGTCCTTTTTAGGGACCATGTGCAACGGAGATGCATAAGGGCTGTTTGACGGTCGTATGATTCCTAAGTCTATCATATGATCGAATTCGTTTTTCGCTAACCTCAGCTTTTCCGGAGCTAGTCGTCGTGCTTTAGAGAATACAGGTGGTCCTGTAGTCGTGATGTGATGTGTAACATTGCTGGTTACACACGGTAGTTTCGTTTGAGCTTGTTGTATCCCAGGGTACTTGTCGAGTAGTGGTTGATAGAGTGGGTCTATCGAATGCTTAACTGTGACTGGGGATAATCTACAACCAGAAAAAGAAGTTACGCAAACGGATAATTTAGTGTTTCCATCTACTAGCCTCCGTTTGCGCGTGTCGATGATTAGATTATGATGTTGTAGGAGATCCATACCAATGATTGGCATAGAAACATCTGCAACAACGAAAATCCAATGAATGGGTTTGCGTAAACCCACGTTAAGGTAGACGTACCTTTTGCCATACGTGGCGATTGGTTTCCCATTTGCCGCCTGTAAGTTTAGAGTTGATTCGTGGAGCCGTTTGTATATAACTATCTAACAGCAAAAGTAGAAAAATCCAGCTTCAGTAGCTACAAAAAGACCTTAATAATTGATAATATAACAAACACTAAAAGGCACACTAAACGAGAAAAAATGTCAGTACTCTTTGTTCTATTTTGTATCTGTACAAGAAAAGTACAGATGATAAACTTGTCTCGGGAAAGGCTTTATGCTTACAGAATCTTCAACTAGCAAGACTCAATTAAAGTAAAAACAGACTTCCTTATACGTATTAAATGACCAAAACAATAAAATTAACTCATTGAGGAAAACTAAAACTTTTTAAACAGCTCATGTTTTGGGATAACATTTGTAGCGGGGTTTGTGAGGCTGTGAGTTGTAGCTCGTTGTTCAGATTATTCGTATGATACTGTAGTGTATCCACACTTCATACTTTAAATTGATACTGAAAACTTTCATGCATATGTTTCATCGTAATGTGCGTACTTTTTTAGTCGCCATCACTTGTTGGTTTTCATCCCCTTAGGTTTTCGTCACGCTTATTAAATCCCGGTCGGGAGATCTATCTCCCGATGCTGGTAAGAATTTTATCATTTATCGGGAAACCATCAAAATCCCTAAGAAAAATGCGACGTAACCTGCAATTTTTTCTGACTTGGAGCTTTTTGTTCAAATTTCAAATTATTTTGGAGAAATTCCTATAACTCTGGGAGAATTTTTGGTTTTGCCCATTATTCCCAAAAGTTTGTGTTCTCTGATAAAACTTCGAAACTCCTGAGTGTTGTGGGAAAAAGTCTGCCTTTGTGACGATTTATCAGTCAGTAAGGAAACGAAGGCTTATCATGAAACAACAGACGATAAAAATATGACAAAATAACGGTAAAATTGTAGCTTAAATCTGAATGATTGACCCTCATATGTTGATGTATTTTTTTCATTAACGGCCAATTGTCAAGAATACACTTTGGGAGTCAGAATGATGTTGTGATTTAAGACCATAAACCCGTGGAGCATTCGTCACTAACTGGCAGTTACAATGTAATATTTTTAGGATTAGATTTTAAAATTCGGAAAAAACGAATTTACCGAATGTCAAATTGGACATTTTCACAATTTTAAAATTCAGTCTTGAGCTTTGAAAAATTAAGGTCGTGGTTTCTTCATTATGAAGTTGCATAATATTCTATGCATTACCTTTTCGTCTTCCTGTCTACACACTTAAGAGACTAAGGGTTGTGATTTTAGGTAAGAATTAGCAAGAAAAAATATTATCCAGACAACTGACTGGGTCATATCAAGTACTTCAACATAACATCTTCCTTGGGAGTAGGTGCGTTTTGCAATCTAGGTTGAACACTGTTCTCGATTCATTTTTCGGTTGCCTAGTTGATGCTTTTATGAATTCCGGGCATTGTAATAATCAGTTATTATCAATTTTCACTTGGTCATCTATCACTGCACTTTTAATTCCACGCAAATTACGTAAAGGGTTATCTTAATTCTGATTGACTAACCCGCAGCCTTCAGTATGCTGTGCTTTTGCTCGAATTTTTACCGAAAATATATACGGGTCTGGGGTTTTTTTGCCGAAAAAATTTGTAATTCGGAAATTAGGCGCTTCACTAATATTCCCTATAAAGTTCAGACTAGGTCCGAAAGGATTTTCAAATAAACGTTAAACATTAACTAGTCAGAACGCTTTCGGTAAACCAAGTTGATTCTTTATCGATTTTGAGGTGTGTAAAAAAACTTTGGATTCATATGGCACGGTTTAGGTTGTTCGAAATGTTTTTTATCAATAGCTAGGAGAACATTTTACATTGATGGCAGTTAGAAGAACTATTCATGTCACTAGTATACATTAAAGCCTGTTGAAACTCGGAGAACACATACTTTATGGGAATGTAGTTTGGCATTGATCACCGAGTTTGTCTTGTGTGTCCTTTGAGTAAATCTGGATGAATCAATAAGACAGTATATGACATTTCGAAGGCCATTTTTCAGTATCGTGTGCATCATGATTAATTCACCTCATCTAGGACGGATAGGGTTAGTGGATATTACCAGTCCTTAAGGTCACTAACTTCTGATCCGAGCCATGTTGGTAGATTAAGACTACTTGGTTGGTGTCCGTGTGACTATCGTAGCTAATGTTTGGAGATTCTTAGTGACATGGCTCAGAATCGATCACAATGGTGTAGGTGTATACAATCTTTGTTTTCCTTTGAACCCTGAGATTAAAGTCACTTTATACCTTTTTTTCTACGAACGTGTTCTTTCTCCCTGTATCATGTCTGTAAATGAAATGTTTTTTTTACTATCATTAAAGTAACTGCTATGAATTTGGTGTTCATCTTGTTGTGCTAATGAGGTGTGGCAACTTACACTGATGCATATATGTTCCTTGTCCTACGTTATGACTTACCGACTCACGATTTATCTTAGTCCCAGATATTCTTCAATTGTGGGAACTCTGCCACTTCCTTGCCAGTGTATACCTTGACTCATGAGTCGGATCCCTCTTGTTTCAGGATGATACACATTAAGTACGTAAACACATCTTTTCAGAGCTTCACCATCACATATAATTTGAATGATACTTGTTGTGGTTTTCCTTAGGATCTCATCTTCACCATGTAATAACTAAGGCTAGTTCCGCAGAAACCACTGCTTCACTAGTAGTCTTCGTCTGCACTTATTACTGTATATACGATAGAAGGGCTAAGTCATTTTCAAAGTCCAAATCACCCATCTAAACATGTGTTTTCACTGTGTTCCTTGTTTCTCCTGAGATGTGGACGTGTTTACAACCCGGACAACAACCAAAAAGATAAAAAGTGACGGTAGATAGTCTTACTTAATACAAGTCTTCATTTGAAGTATATTTATGAGCTACTCTCCATGCACAACTTTGCAATTCAGTCTCTCGTAGGAATGCCATATGACGATGACAATCTCTTAAGACACTTAACAATGTTGGAGATTCTACAAAGTTTTCCATGTATCTTGTCGACTGCTTTTTTATAATTAGGGAGGTCGGTGTATTGTGATGGGTCCATCCAATTGGCTGTTCAAAAATTATTCCCAGTTTGGTGGGTACACGATCTTACATTATGAAAGCCAGCTTGTTAATCTCAAAGTTGGGCATCTACTGAATCCTTCACTCAATGTAGCTACACTTTTGGAAACTTTGCCTAGAATTAATAGTGCCGTTATCTGTTTGTAGGCCTGTAGCCCTTCAAACTGCTCTATCCACTTGTTCCATCACTTTTGAACGGTGATTTGTTTAGCTTTGACCCTAACTACTCGCTTTGGTCTACAATATTTTTCTGCAAGCTGTTTTGCTATATGCTTGTGAAACCTGGCCTTTCCGAGTTGACAATGTTAGACGACTCTGTGTTTAATCACTGTTGTCTCCTAAGGATTGTTGACATCTAGTGGCAACAATTAGTAATGCGGAGGTTCGGCACCATGTATTCGTGCACAGCGATGATAATTAATTCTTGTTCTTTTCTATTATATCCACTTCAATTTCTCTGTGTCTTCACAACTTCATTGTTATTGTGTAGCGCATATGTATTTGGTGCCTCATTGTACCAATTTTTATGTGTTCTAATAAATAAAGCTTCTTGGTTGTATCATATGGTTCTCTCATATTTTGTTCTGCTGTGGTTGTCAGATCTACGTATTTCTTTTTATGACTTCTAAAACTCTTCTTCACTAGTTTGTTCACTTCTATGTATTCTACCCGTGCCTTTTCTTTATTTTAGTTCAACTGTTGTTTACTGCTGTTCTTTGTTTTTCCTCTCGAATTTTGTCCAGATTTTCTACAGAATTCCTTTCTTAATGTTAGTGTCAGTCAGTCAGTCAGTAAGAACGTAGAACTTAGTACGTACGTACATTAGTTCGAGTTGCCACACCACATTAGCACAGAGATGCCGTTGTCGATTCAAATCCCGTAGTGGTAGAGGTAGCAAGAGTATAAGCAGTAATCGGGAAGATTAGGGTTTGGAGATGTTATTTAACGAGTATAATCCAGTGAAATAAATTTGGAAAGAGGAAAAAAAGGGACATGAAGAATTCAGAAGATTAGAATTTGGGAGAACATAGAGAGTGGATGCACCTGCGCCATTGCAAAGGATTTTGAGCCATGTCATTCAGGGTCTCTAACCATCGGTTTACTATCATCTCGCGGTCCCCAACCAGGTAGTCTACACCTACCAACATGACTCAGTCCACTTGTCAGTGACTTCATGGATTTGTGCCATGTTTTGGTTTGGCCGCCCCTAGCTTTCTTCCAACCTACTCCTATACCACTGAATATAGCACGTCGAGGTAGTCGGTGGTTGGGCATACGTAACACGTGTCCCAGCCACCTCAACTGATGAAGTTTCACTACTTCATCAATTGATTTGCCATCCTTACCTAGTACCCGTTTCCTAACAGCTGCGTTACTTACTCGGTGGTCCCAGGATATACGAGCAATATTTCGAAGACACCTATGATCAAATACTAGTAACCTACGAATATCCTCTACTCTTACCGGCCATGTTTCACTGCCATAAAGTAGGACGGAACGAACTGCTGCGCAGTAAACACGTCCTTTGGTTGGTAGACGGATATCTCGCCTACGCCATAAATGACGCAAGTTGGCAAAAGCTAGTCGAGCCTTCTGTATCCGTGCTGAGATTTCGTCACACACCAAACCACAAAGGCTGATGAGACTTCCAAGATAAGTGAAGTGGTCGACACACTCAACTACTTCACTCCCTATCACTAGTTCGGGTGTCGATGTAACCCAATCCTGAAGCAACATTTTGCATTTCGAGGGAGAGAATCGCATCCCGAACTTGCTTGCATTGTTGCTTAGAGTGGTCAGAAGACTCTGCATTTTGTCAGCGTCTTCACCAAATAAAACTATGCCATCTGCATATTCTAAGTCAACAAGTGAACCTCCCGGTAGAAGTTCAACCCCCGGAAATTTAGATGAGGAGAGTGTTATCTCTAAAAGTACGTCGACCACAAAGTTGAACAAGAATGGGGAGAGTGGACAGCCCTGACGAACACCACTTGAGGTAATCAATTCTGATGACAGTTCGCCATAAGCTCTCACTCTACCAGTTGTGTTCGAGTAGAGAGCCTTTATAAGGTTAATGTACTTCTTTGGTACTCCTTTCAGTGACAAACACTGCCATAGAACCTCACGGTCAACAGAGTGTTTCTTGAAGCCTAGAGTTTTCCGACATGTTAAAGTTGTTACTTCCGTAATTCCTTTCCATTTGTTCTCCATGAAGGTTTCTTCTCTTAGTGGATCGTGTAAGACATTGAACTTGTTGTTGATAGCTATCTTGAACATGCTAAGTTTGTTACTATCTCTAAGGAAGCCCATGCTAAAAATTCGTATTGCTGCATCCTCAATTGTCTAATGCTTTAGCTGGAGTTTTGACCTATCCATCACCAGGTGTTGATGTGAGTGTATATCAGTTCATTTCTTTGTTCTTACATTTTCCATGGACCTCCCGAGTTTTTTAATTTTGAACGTATGATCTATCTAGTTTCTTGTTTTTTCCTCCGGTTAAACACATGTGGCTTTTTGTATACATTTGTGGAGTAAAATACTGGCTCCTATGACCATATTGTTTGAAGTACACAGATCTACCAGCCTCTTGCCACTGCCTTTTCTCTTCTCCCAGTTTTTGTCGCCCCATGACGGCTTCATACTCAATTTCGTCTATCACAACATTGGTGTTTAGGTCCCCCTTTAAGATGATTAAGTCATTTCCTGGGCTTTTTCTCAGGATGAACTTCAGTCACATAAAACTGGTCTTTAAAATATTTTGTGATATATTTAGTGGGTATGTAACACTAGATAACATTAACTGTAATCCTTTCCTTGCCTTAATAATCCTTGAGTCATAATTTCTCATCCTATTTTCGCTTTTTGTAATTCTTTGGATAGCATCAGTGCAATTCCATGTGTGTGGTTCATTTTATGCCTTCTTGATAAGCGAAAGACTTCTCTACTGAAGCTAGTTTTTTGTCCAGATTTTATCCAATAAGTTTCACTTATTAAAAGTACGGTCAAACTGTCTATTTCTATTTCCGTGGCTACTTAAATAGCTCTCCTTGTCCCCCACATTGTGCAGACATTCGACGTACACATATTTGTCGTTTCGCTGGTTGTCAAGAAAGAAATAGCCTCAATGCTTTCAAAAATTTTTGGATTTTACCATGAGGCGTCATAAACATTGTATATGAAAATTTCTCGTTAACGATTTTTTAGTGAGGTTCTTTTTACGAAGTGGTGTTGCTAATGCTACGCAAGGTCCTCCTTCACATGAGCTTGCACCCGACAGTAATCCAAGAAGGGTTCTAGGCGAAATTTTCCAATCCATTTTTCTTATCTTCGGTAGTTTTCTAGGCGATTACCGTTAGCTATGTCACTTATATCAAAGCGGGATTTTTAGGGGTAACTTTGCAGTTTATTTATTTAAATAAACATTGGCAGAAGAAGGCACCAAGTAGATATACACCCCCCAAAACAGGTAGTTCTCTTAGGGGCAACTCCCCGAGCCTTTGACCTAGAGGTCTAATCCAGAGGGCAGTGGATTAGCGTTGGGAGGTGCAGTCCCATGGTAGCCGGTGACCAACGATAGGTTCATGCACTATTTGTTCCTTCAGGATACTGTAGCCCATGTGCGCCCCTGGTTTGAAATGAAAGTCATCCAACTCCACTAGGTGGGTCCTTCATATCCACCAACCCGGTTAAAGCCATGAACATTCGCTTTTCGTCCTCTCAATTTCGTAAACAACCCTGTCGCGAGAAGATCGTGAGCTGAATTTTCCCGACAGTGGTTGTATGCGCGTGGCCATATGACAGAATTTCGAAAGGGAGATCTGACTCTCCCCACTTTGCCGTACCAATCAAAATCAAAGTGGTCATATCTTGTAACACCGTCTTTTGGTTGAAGAGGCTGGTTTATTGGGTATTTTGTGGTGCGTTATGAACTTGTCACATTATCCCATCCTCAAAATAAAAGCAACAGATTATGGTCTTTCACGGTATTGGTTTGTCCATATCATTCATAGAAAACATTTTCCAAAAAGTTACGAAACGAAAGGAGTAAAGCGGACTGAACAAAACACGCTTGATTAAAATGTACACTTCATTTTTAAGTCTGCTAGGGGTTTAAAATCAGTGATAGATCACTTCGTAAGATGACTGCGAATCTCGTGTGTATATATATAACCCAATTCTAACCTTTCTTTGATATCTGGATATTTTTATTCATAATGTATTTGTTATCTTGTTGATTCAGTGTCTTCTTATTGATGAACGCTAGTAGTGTGGAACCTGGTACAAATGTGTATTTGTTAAAGTTGTCCTATTTCATATAACAGCGGTAAAAAAGTGAAAGGATATAAAAGTGTAAAAACAATTGTTTCAAAGTCTTTGGATTACTTTCGCCCATTGAACAAGTACGTGTACATGTTTATGTTCTGTGTGGAATTCAGTAGCTAGACCCTTTGGATATGTTCTCTGCAGGAATAAAAAGGCTACAGAAGCTTTATAAACTTATGTAAGAATAAATAACATTTTTACCTGTTTACATTTTTCTCTCGTTCTTTCATCAAACCTTGTGTTTATACTTTTGTTTTGTCGGGTATGTGTCATGATTCACCATACAAATAAAGGATTTTTTAATCGGGAAAATAAATAAACATAATTAGGTTTAAGAATCCTGTTGAGCGCTATTTAGTGGTTTCAGGACATCGACAACCGATTTATAAACGTCAGGTTCAAATATAGGTATTGAGCTAATTGACAGGTATTCATTAGTATATTGAATGGAAGCTCCTAAAGTTTGACGAGAGATTTACATTTTTTTAGTCCAAGCATGTTGGTTTTCTGGTCCTCATCAAAGTGTAAATTTTTAAGGGCATTAAGTTTGAATAGCCTATCTAGTTTCGATGATTGGTTTCCGGAAATTATCAATGAATTACGTAAGACCATTTGGACGGGACGAAAACCCCATTATGGCGAGGTTACTGATTGGAATGTATTGTAGCACTAAAGTAAGAAATGATGGACCATGTTTAAATGAAGTGGCACATAGACATAAGGTGATGGAGTATGTTCTTATACGGCAAAACGGTTTGAGTTTATGAGCATTTATTCATAGGAAGTGGGATATTTGGATTGCCATAACTTTTATGGAGTATTTGATACTATCAAGAAACCGCAGTTTAAATAGGAAACCACTGCTCAGCTTTTAAAATGAAAATTCAATTTACAAGGTAGTACCAGGAGCAGCAATAGTATAGTGGTCTGGAATTGTCGTAGGCTGAAAAAAACTCACTTTGTTAAGATGCTGAATCTTATATATTGTTATTTTAGAGACAGTGTTTTTTCCACCTTAGATATGTCCTTCGTATCTCTTATGCCTTCACTTGGGAACAACTCACCGCAGTAGGGAAAATAAGAACTTTCTTAGTATAAGGTATAAATACGCGGTTATAATATAACATCGTTTCGAAAAGGAAAATCAGAATCCCTCTCAATTCCTCAGTTGAACACTTTCATTAAATTTGAAGCTTAGTTTCACTCCACACTGCTCATCCCCCTTTATTATTTATTATTTTGGAATTATATACGTAGTTTTATCAAACATTAGACGTTACTATATCTACTCAGGTGGATTTCGTCTCGTTGGTCTTCTCTGTCCTTGTGCTTATACAAAACGTTAATTTGGATTGACAGGGCAGAAAGTCGGGGTATCGATTCTTAACGGAAAATGGGCATTGATAAACGCTTTATTTTTGCACTACAGTTATCACTGTCAGTAGTAAAATAAAAACATAAATAAATTGTTCAACTGGTATCACGTGTGATCCGTAGAAAAAAATTATTTTGTCCTTTTGACCTTAATTGTTTTTTTACGTTCCCAAGACTTTTAGTAGTGCAAATATTTTTCTTTTTGATTGAAGGTCTTTCAGTCTTTCTCGTTTTTATTTTTCTTATTCGATAGTTTCCATGGAGTCACTTTACTATGCGACTCAATTCACCTCATATTTTACTCTGATAAAGTATAAGTCCTCTGTTCAGAGAGTTGAAGCACTAAAGGACTTCCATCCACGTCTACGATGGTTGAGTACTTAGAAACACTAGCAAAAAGAGCAGTCCGGGGCCTTCTGTCACTTAAAGTCAGTGTATCTAAATAGCCTCATATTAACTAATTGGTGTTGAATATAACTTCTGGCTATCTGAGAGCATGGTGATAAGGAAAAGCTGTTTAAACAGATTGATTTAAAGAGAGCAAGAACAAAGATTGGTGCAGAATAATATGAATTCATTTTATTCTGCATTAATCTTTTTTCTTGCTCTCTTTAAGATAATGAAAAGGACTATGCGTATGATATTGACTTAAGTTTGTACAACGACTGATAACACTAATAGCAAAGGAATAGGAATATTTGGTGTGGAAAATCTTCAGGCATTTGTCAAAGAAGACTAGTGTTTATGTAATGTTTCAAGGAGTATCATTTCAAATTGACAAACTTTCTGTTAAAAAGTATTGTGTTTATATATATTTCATAAAGTTATTTCGTCACTAACTTGTACAAGTAAAAATATACTGGTAAAAACCATTATTGTTGTAATAATGTCTCCTCCAGCATCAGTTGCTGAGTTGATCGTTAAAGTATGCTTATGTTTATTTGGATAAGCTTAAAAACTACATATAACTAAATCTTTTGGAGAGTTGCTGCCAGTGTTGTTGGATCAATACACTAGATTTCCGTAAGTATAATATAGGTAAGTTGACCTTCGGTTATTTATGTGACTAATATTCAAGACTAGTGCCTCTACTTCTTATGATTTAATTCATTTTATCCTTTGCTATTATCAATAATCTTGCTACTGTTTTAAAAGGTGCCGATGTGATCACATGAAGTAGGTGAACAATGTTAAATCTCTGTTTTAGGTAATCGTTCAAAGGTGTATTCAAAGAGCTTTTATTGTAATGAATGTTATCCATACATTAATCTCATTGTATGCAAAATGACTACTGAATCTTCAGAACAAAATATTACCAATTTTATTCAATCAGTTTCAATCCCTGAACATATGACAATGGATATAACAAATGCTTTCTTTTCTGCTTGTCGAATCGGACTAAAACCTGGTGAACTATTACACACTAGTTGGTTTGACTTGAAGTATTCCATGTCAGCTATCGAGATTATGGATCCTAAAATGGATGCTCTAGTTCAAGGAAACCGAAAAGTTCTGACTGTATGTGAGGCGTTATCTAGTGAGCAGTTACCTTTGGGGCCTTTTTCGTCACTTTACGAGCTTTTGGGTATCATAGATGAACTTTTAGCTGCTTGCGTTAATTGGCTGACGGGCGATTCTCTTGCGCAAAGTATATTTATTTGCATGTATATGCACTGCACTCAGTTAATTAGAGATAAATATCTTGCTGCATTTTGTGAGTTATTACGACGATCAATCTATCAGTTGCGTTATATAATAATCTGTGTGAGTGTCTTTGACGAAGAGGATCATTACAAGTTCGCACATGGTATGCCAGTTCATGAACCCTCAAATATTTTTGATGGTTATGGTGGCTTTCGTAATGACTGTCTGCATAAATTGTCAGTGTTAGAATTAGTAGCTCATGTAAATGATTTGATTAGAAATCTTGAAAATGAATCTACCACGTTTGCGGATCGTGAGGAAAAACTACTTATGGGATTACACAGTCGTCTACAGTTTGTTCAAGTGTTATTACTGTTCACAAATTCAATCTTTGAGTGTATAAATCCAACTCATGTCTATTTTGAGCAAGATCTGTTTGAAGGATATACACATGCAGATCTCGATTTTTCTGAACGAAATCCATCACCTCCTAAACTGTGTGAAGCTCAGAATAACACAGAATTTCTATGGGACTCCTTCATAGATATTTGTAGGAAAGTGTCGCAGCATTTAAGTAGTCTGAAATCACTTAGTGATACATTAGTAGAAACTTCAAACATTGGCAAAATGGCTGGTGAAGGAAAGTTTAGACCAAAGGACGCTTCATATGGTCTTCCAGGTTTTGAAGTTTTCTTGAATCAAACCAACATACCTACATATATGCCCAAAGTGGTAAATATTCACGATCGTCACAAATCATTTGTTTATTTCTCAAGTCTCTTTACAAGACTCAATCATATTTTATGTACATACGAAAATTTTGCCTTATGGAATGTTTTACATCCTGAACCCCTACGCCTACATAGTTTATGGACATTTATTCAGAAATCTGGTCAGATATCTTGTCCTTATGTCAAAGCTCTTTTGTTTCCTGACGACTCTAGCGAAGTAAATGAACCCATGTTAACTACTTGTGTTTTATCAAAGACAATTATATACGTGTTTCATTCCACTCTTATGGGGAAAGGAGATTTTATTGCGCTTCAACCTCCGTCTCTCTCTCCGGTGCATTTCCTAAATTCTTGGCAGGAGTTAGAACCTACTGCGTATCGCCCACTGATTAAAAATATCATTTATAATATTCCTGAACTGATGAGTTTTTTCACTACACTTTCAAATCATTTCGCCCGTGTAAGTGCACATTTTAGTTTATATATATTTCTCAACCTTCTACATATAAGACTAATTCTTAACCTGTTCCACTTATTGATTTTCGTAATATTCTGTACATGTTCCATATGAATTCAGCCTTTTTTTCAAAACTTGGTTGTATTTCAATAAAATTGCATGAACATAGTTGGATAGCAGCTGGATCCATAACTGCAGTCAAAGATATTTTCCATCCACTGGAAAACCACTAAAATGCAGAAATCACTGGGTAATTGTTTAATTTTAGGTTAAAATGCAGTATTATAGACCGATGACCCTACACATTTACGGAGAATGGAATTTTGTGTTATGCGACAGTTACAATACATTTTAATCTATAAATAAGAATCCATCGGTCCACGCTTCTGATTTTAGATAATTCGTGAAACAACACTGCGACGATCTAGCCCTTCCAGTGATTACTTTCATTCTTGAGATGTTCAAACTCTACCAGTGATTATTCCCAGCCAGCACTTTTGAAATGTATCTTAAACATGGTCAGTAATGCTTATATAACTAGTGTCTAGTTGATTAATTTGCGAATATTGGCTCAGTTTGAAGAGCCATACTCTTTATATTACAACTAGAAATCTTAATCAACGTTGACTGGGGAGAAACTAACTTTGCGACTCAAAGTCAACTGTGCAGATTACGAAGTACTGGTCCTGGATTATTTAACTACTATTTCTGATCTACTGTTTGTCTCAATTTGTCACAGTTTTCCCCAGTTTCAATCATACATGAGTAAATAACGATTACTCTCTATTAAACGTTGACTGAACGACAAGAAACTGAATAATTAATCCAAGTTAACTAACCCTGAAGGATTTTATTCACTGTTCTAACATTGTGGGATAAGAATTTGACACTAGTTTGTTTCATTCTGTTATCACGTTTATGGTGCTATTTCAGAAAATTTGAAAGTAGCCTCAAATATGTTACAGCATCCACACTATTGCCGCCTGACTATCTTGTGTAACTTTTTACGCTACTACATAACATCGCACAAGATTGTCAGTTTAATTACCAATTAATCTGTGTTCTAAACGACGTTATTTTTATTTTGTAACTGACATCAGCTAGAATGACTTACCTTATAATTTTCTATGGTTTTCGTTGTGACTAATTAGTGATTCTTAGTGAAATATTTTTGCCAAGATACTGAATCAATAAAATATTTTGATTAGTATACGATAACCATTTTGTTTGTTTCTCGTAAATACCTATTATCCAAACACCGAGCAATTAGGTCTATTCTAAGGGTTTATAAATATCTGTTATCAAGCAGATGTAAAGAGCGGTACGTATTGGTCTACGGTATAAACGAGATTAACTGGCGAATTAGAATTCCTACAAACAAATATCCAAATGGCTCTAACCATGCTAACTACTTTTATTTCATGTAACCCGAAGTTTACATTGGACTACTATAAGTCAATCAACGTTCTGTTTATAGGTATCCAACATTTGAAAGGTTACAAATTTTTAGGAAATGTGGTTGATAATATATGTTGAAACTTACAGGTAAATCTTGATGTATTTTATTGTTTTGAGAAGATGTCCATAAATCCCAATCTTAAGTTTTTATTTTATCATTCTCTTTAATCTAATCTGTTATGATTTTAATTGTAATAAAAATATTCTAGATTATTTCCTTTATACTATTTAAACTTGCGTTAATTTATCTCGGTTATTTATTTACGCTGAAGAAGTGACTTACATCAAGTCACAGAACGCCAGAAATACAGTTTTTCTGCTCATTGGAACAGCAAAAATATATTTATTAACTTTCTGCCCAACGCTTAATTTATTTGAAATTATCAAGTTGAACTTCGGCATTGATACATATTAATATAAGATTATTGTGTGTAGCAATGGTAGCATTGTCATTGAGTAAATAAATATTTCCGATTCCCAAACATCACACAGGTTAAGACGTTTTTCATGCAATTGGTTCCCTTCATGAATTTAAATAAAGCAAGAACAAATATTGGTGTAGAATAGTATGAATTCATATTATTTCGAGGTTTCTCGTCAGCTGCTTACAAACCAAAAAATGTGATAGAATTTTTACATTGAGATAGTGTGAAACAATTGACATAAATGAGCGTAAATAACTGGATTACAATAATATATATATATATGATAATTTTAGAGATTAATGGAACTGAATAATCATAAGATAGGTTACGTAATAATAATTAAATATAATTTGAAAAGTTAAGATAATTTAAGAGGATCAGGTGTTGGAAATGTGTGAATAATAATGTGGTTTAAGAGTTATGTAATAGGGGAGCAGTATAAATATTTTAAAATAAATAAATGAATAAAATAACCCAAATAACCAAAACACAAAAAAGGATTGCCAGGGTAGTGATAAGTTTATTAAAGTCTTTTTTTGAATGCATAAGTCCGGTTTAAGTTTTTTGATCGCAATGGCTTCAGCGAAACGGAGGGTTGTCGTACTTCTTTGTCTATTGGTAATTTTGAAGGCGTGCGGAGTGTCGACGGTGTGCCCGGTGTCAAGTAGATGCCGAGCTATTGCGCTGTTGAAAGCCTTAGTCCCTCGCAGCCTCAAGTTTTTCGGAACATGCTCAGAAATGCGGACATGCACTCTTCTCTCAGTTCTCCCAATGTATGTGCTTTGGCACGTACATGTGAGTTGGTAAATGCAGTTGGAGCTCCGACTGCATTTACCAATTCACATCTCGATGTAAAAATTCTATTACATTTTTGGTTTGCAAGCAGCTGACGAGAAACCTCGAAATAATATGAATTCATACTATTCTATACCAATACTTGTTCTTGTTTTATTTAAGACGTTTTTGTTTTGAGCATTTTCTATTCAAAGTTTTTAATCGTTTAATGTATATCTATTGTTTTAATCATATCTTATAGATCCCTTATATTTACGGTAGTAACCGTTCACGCCAACGTTCCGCTCTTGGTTATTGGTTGGGAGATCTTCCAGATTTGCTTGACGAGTGTGCAAACGCCGAGTTTGTCATTGGTGTTGAACTTAGAAATAAATTGGCAAATAAAACAACTGAGTGTTTTGAATCTGCAGGAAAATCTGAAGTTTTATCGACGCAAAAGACTGTTGTACCTGTTCAAATCAATCTGTCTTGTTTTGTAACTTATGTGTATTATTACTTAGCATGGGATTATATTGTCTCTGGGTTTCAACTAGACTTGTATTCTCCAAGTGAATGGTTGTCTATTTACGCTTTTATGATACACTTATTTCAGAATTTAGCTTCTTTGCTCAGGAGTTTAGCGGAAAACTGCATCGTTTCAGGATCTGAAGGACAACCTACTTTAGAAAATGAATCCGCTGATATTAAAGGTCTAAATAAACAAGTTGATAAGTGTGATTCTGTGAATGATGTTGAGAGGCTTGTCAATCGTCAAAGTAAAAAGAAGAAGAAACATCGAGAAAAATGCAATGTATCCGGTGTACATAGTAAGAGCATAGAAATGTCGAATACCATGAATTTTAACAGCGTTGTTAAACCGATTTCACCTATGATACATGAAATAGGTTCGACTTTTGAGGTAAGACGTTTTATCGTTAATCTAGTCACCTGTTTAGTTCTCAGGAGACTTTAGTGTTCAAACTGCTTTTTATTTGAACGTTTCACATGTAAATTGTTTGATTCATTAATAGTAGTATTACAATACTTTTGAGATATACGATTGTAACTGACTATAACAACTTTAGTAAAGCGGTCCATGCATTTATCCAGTAATTGAAAGAATGTTATTATCTGCATGCCATTCTTAATTGTGAAGTATCAAAGCAATGCGTGCTTAATATTTGCTGAATACCTTTGGGGTTAAATCATTGAATTGGTTATAAATTCGTTTAATATTCCTTAATGGTTGACCAGAGTTTCTTCACACACTTAAATTAATATAATTTGATTTTTGACTATAGTTATGCTTTCGCATTCATCTGACGTGGATTTTTAAACTAATATTTTTTCGATGATTTGTTTTTGAGTTAAATTTATTCGGTATGTTACTAATGTTCAAAAAATTAACCTTTGTAATATTTGTGACGTCGGTTGTTTAGTTTAGTATCTGTTAGCTAATACACTTAGTTTTTTTCCTAAAAGTGAAAATGAATACTGTCAGTATAAGCGACCTTGATGACCACTATGAGTGTAGTAGTCAACAAGTGGATCCCTAAATATCATTTGAAAAATATATCAACAATTATAAACCCATCCCGAAAACCCAACAAAAATTGACCTTGCATCAATAATGTCTCATAGATCACAAATAGACCAGTAAACAGTTCATGATGAGCTGTTTTTTGAGGCAAATTGGTGGTAGCTAAAGCACCCAATTTTGGACCATTAGGTTGTAGATCAGAACACCAGTCCATCTATTTTAATTAAGGCAGCCAATTTGTATCACTCATCTTCATTCAAGAAAGCGAATATAATGACATTTTAGTCCAAAAAGATCCCTTCAAAATCTTTTGATATTTTTGCCGTTTATCCATCATCCGAAACCAACTTTGTTTTTCTTTTGTCATATTTGAAATACACGAAAGTCGTTAAACAAAATTGTTTTTAGATGAAATCGCCATCAATCTGTACCTTTCTATGCATATTACAAGGCTTAATTGTGTGAGGAAATGTGTACAGTGAATAAGTATAATTGCATAATAATAAGTATTATATTGGACCAGATAGCGTAAACATTGCGTAATTGGCATTACGTCAATAAGCACTTTTTAACGTATGCTTTGTTTTCCTTTTTTCCGGTTTGTCTAATAGACTTTTTGGTAATTATGATACCTATTCTGACTCCAGTGGTTATTTTGTAAATTTTCGAAATCAGTCTCTTACATTTTGTTTTCTGCGAGAAATCTGGTTGAAAAGTAAGCTTTTAATCAAGTTTTAGTAAATCAGTCCCTTTGTATACTTACAGCAAACGAATTTGAATATTCAGAATTTGAAATTATTTTCATATACAAACACAATTCTTTCATTTGCCGACTTTTGTCTAAAAGCAAATAGATTCACAGTTTAATTGCTGTTATGACAACTAAAACTTCCGTATGGCTTTGAATGTCCTGTCTCATTAGAAAGTGTTTTATTTCTTTGTTCTTAGTAAGGTAGAGTGACCCCTTAAATGGTAGTATTTTGTTTAACAAAACCTTCTTTACTTATATAAATCTAATGGTCTTTATTTTCATCCTAAATATTTTCCCAGGTTCACTTGCTTAATGTACATCAATACTTGAATACTGCAACCCTGTATGTTATACGTGCGCTTCAGAGAGATAGTGGGATCGAAATAAATGTGAATCGTCTAAGTCCGGATCCTAATTCTGACGGGCAACTGCGTACATTTCTTAGTCGAAATTATCTGGAACGTTATGCCAGAAGGCTTGGAATTTTTCTCATTCCTCATAATTCACCTCTAACTGAAATGGGAGGTGTTTCAGGGGCTTACGAAACATGGAGATCATTAGTAAGTAGTAGCATTATTGATGGTCGTTCAACAAGTGATCTTTATCTGATGGCAGCAAGAGCGTTTGATGAAGCTCAGAATTTAATTCAGAAAACTCTGTATTTGAAGTCAGTAGGTGAAGAAAAGTTACTTAAGTTCACACGGTCTCCTATTGTTCTATCCCTGCTCACTGAAAAGTTAGGGCCTCCTGACCAACTCATCGATCTTCAACAATTAGCAAGACGTAATTCCATTGCTTGCCGTGTGCTTGGTGTATGTGAAGATCGACGGCCAATTGTACATACAGCCAATCCATCCACAATAAATCATAAAATGTCGTTTTTATGTTCATCTAGTCCAGTTAAATTGGACTACAATTTTTTAGAAAGCAAGTGTTATCCGCTTATTCGTCTAGCTAGTCAATCAAAAAAATGTTAATAATAGTTATGTTCACCTGTGAATACCTGTTTGGATGTTATGAATTTGTTTAAAGACTGAATGTTAAAATGATGTTTCTAATTAATTCTTTCTTTTAATGTAATATTTTTTAGCAGATGCATGTTTTTTGTATACGGACTTTTTTTGGAACTTAGATCTTTTTCATTCTTGTATAAATTAATCAAATATTCTTCTTCCCTCCTGTATATCAGTGTCCTCGTACTTGTTGTAATATATGAATCCTAAGCAAATAACTATGTACATAAGTCGAAAAATAATGAAATTATTTATTGGAGATATCATATCTATCTTTAAATTCATGATAGTTTAGTGTATTAAATATTTTGTTTTAGATAAATAAACTGCCTACAATTTTAAATCACATAAAGACGTCAAATAATAGTCGAATTTCACTCAAGACACTAGTTCTGAATGTAAGCTAAGAATTATAACCCTCTTGTGGATTTTAGTTATCAAGATGAAATATTAGCACATATCGTTTTAAGTAAAAACAGTTGTTGATATAAGTTGGTATGTAACTAGTGAATTAAGTATTAAAAGAATAGAATTTTTTGTCACTAGTCATTTTTAAAAAATTAATAATGGTAATATATGCTCTTTGGTGGTCTATGTTTATTGAACGTTAGTATTAAAATAACTTTCCAATGTGAACAATCATTTATCTTCGTTGATCTTAGTTAATGTATCAGAAATAGGATATGTGAAATCAAACAATCTATATAAAAATTTACAAAAGCTTTTTTTTACATTACATACCATAAAGATTGAAAGGAAAGAAAATTAGAACAGTAAAAAAAATGGATGAAACTAACGTATTGTCCACCATTTTCAAGCTTATTATCCAACTTAAGGCATAATTAATGTTGTTCTTGAGCCGATTGGAGCACGACTTAAAGCATTTTTTGATGTTTGTCCACTGACAAGTTTTTCCCTATAGTAAATGAAGAAAATAGATTTGTGTTACTGAATCATTAAGTTTTATTAATTAATTACTTTGAAGTCACAATTTAAAACTGGGCTACAATGTTATTGCCTTTCAAAATGTAAATTGCGTAGGTTCTATAGTTTTGCTTCAAAATCAGTCATTAAAAACTGATTTGCCTGGCGCTTGGCATCCAAGTTGTTTGGTATTGGATTCTTAGAGGAAAGTTTCATGTTGCTAGTATATAATCATGAATGCCTTTGAGGTATCACTCACGTATGCTTGCATCAATACTGAGTTCATGCATAGGATACGAGGCCAATCGATTGATGAAGTTAAGTATCTTCGTTGACTTAGGTGATTGGAACTTGTAAGATGTTTGCTAGTGCAAGAGTAGGTTGGAGAAAACTTGGGGGTGGCCATGTAAGTACGTAAATAATACTTGATCGGGGTCTGCACAAATATCGCGATCAATAGTTTAAAGTTACAGGTGATTTGTAATGGCGCATATGCACTTATTCTTTGTCTTCTTTTAGATCCAGAGTTTCTAAACTATTTTACACCGTTTATTCCAGAAATACATTTTCTCGCATCATATCTTCTATGTTGAATGCTTCTTATCATCACTGACAATATTACTACTACTCTGCCATCTGATGTGGCTTGGCAACTTAAACTAATATCGACCGTTGCTGCTACCTTGCGTGGTGGTCGGGCTTGCCCATCGTAATCAATCGATTGAGCTATACTGGATCGAACGATCGCTACTTAAGGTCCTACTATGCCAAACAGGTTGGTTGAAAAGCGGTAAGACTAAAAGCGGTAATTCCAAGGTCTGAGGGTGAAGTTGTACTGCTGACTGTATAGAGGTATGATGACAGTAAGATGTTTTCTTCACGCAACCAGCATAATAGCGATGCTGCTTTTCCACAAGGAGGGGTGGTGTTAGAAAAGGTTGGCCCTAAAAATACACCCCTTGCCTCATCCCACGGATTTCCGTCTCTGGCAATAAGGTCTCAACAAGTGCGGAGCTAACACGAAAATTACTCACAAATGGGTTGTATGTGACCGGCCTCAAGCAGGTGTCACTTGGGAAGTCAGGTCACTAATAAAACCTCTAACCCGATTTCCTTTTCCGGTACCTCTAGAACAATAACACCCTCATAACTCTAATAGCAATCAAGATTCTAATTCTTGCCCCCAAATGCGCTGGTACGGCCGAGAGTGGGGAGTCCGCTCTCCCTCTCGAAATACTCTCACATGGCCACTCGTATACAGTCTCTGCCAAGGAAGTCCTACTCATTGCCTTCTCGTGGCGGGGATGTTGTTTACGAAAATGAGAGGACAAAAGGCGAATGTCCGGCGCTTTAACCGGATTCCAAACCAATGGTGCACATGGGCCCCAGTATACTGCGTGAACAACTGGCGTATGAACCAATTGTTGGTCACCGGCTTCCATAGGACTGCATCTCCTTAGGATGCTCCACTGCCTTGTGGATCAGACCATCAGGTCGAAGGCTCGGGGAGTGGCCCTCTAAGGAAACCACCTGCTTCGGTTTGGGCACCCTGTCAGTATCACAGCCCTCACACATATCGAATGAGATTTGTGTGGCGCATATGTATTTGGTGCCTCAATGTACCAATATTTATGTGTTAAAATAAAATAAAGATTACTGTATTCATAGCCAATCTCCCTTTTCAATTCCTGTTATTCCTCCTACATCAACTTTCAACTCCCTCCTTAAATGTCACCATGGCCAACGATTATAGTGCACGAGACGCTGTCCCAGATCTACTGAACGCTCGCTCCGAACTACACTTTGGAGCTTTCAACGTACACATTATGTTAAATCAGCCAGCTGGCCTCCTTGACTGAAACCCTAGAATCTCGTACCATTGATGTATGTTGCGTCTCCGAAACGCACATACAAGATCCTAGCATGGTTATACAGCTGAGCTCACCTCGGCAAAACGGAGAGCTGATGAGATACACCCTCCGTGTATCTGGCGACTCGATGGCTAGTTCTCGTGGACTGACAGGTGTAGGCAGCCCAGTGAAGTAAAAGATGAATTATATAGTAAGCTTTCTGAACTTCAAAAAGCTAGACTCAGACATACTGCTCGTAGCAGGTAACTTTAATGCTCATGTAGGTAGCTTAAACCAAAGAGAAGGACATGGAGAACGAAAACAAATCAGATCTAGGTCAACCAAAAGTCTAAGGAACAACCGTGAGCAGTGGTGCGAAACGAAAGCAAATGAGATGGAAAAGGCGATGTCTGTAGGTAACACAAGTTAGCTTTTCAGACTAATAAAAGAAAATGTAATTTTATAGTCAAGTGTAAGTAAGACTATTTCGGGAAAAGACGACACTTATCTACCCTCAGTCCAGACGTATAGGACGATGGGCAGAAAATTTTAAGGAGCATTTCAGGTGGCCTTCAGCTACTCTACAACTACCCATCATTCCCATACACCCAAAATGGAGCATTGAAGTAGGTCCTCCGACTCTAGCTGAAGTTTAAAAGGCTATAGATAATCTGAAACGAGGAAGAGCATCTGGTCCAAGTGGATTGACTCCAGAGGTCTTTAAGGATAGTGATCCAATTCTATAGATTAGGTTGATTTAATATTTTAGGTCCGGGAGTTGGACGTAATCCCATCTAACTGGTCACAATCACTGATTGTCCCATATAGGGATTAGTTTGACTAATAAAGCACCTAGAATACTAGCCTCAATAATTATCGGGTGGCTAACAAAGTCTCGTGAACTGCAAATACGAGAATATCAGTTTGGCCTCAGACCTGGTCATGGCTGCATCGACCACATATTCACTACTCGTCAGATTTTAGAACACAGGCATGCTTATCGGGGTCTGACAGTGGTGGTCTTTCTTGTCTTAAAAGGAGCATTTGACTCTGTAGACCGAGAGGTTTTGTGGCAGTGTCTATCATTGAAAGGTGGACGTCAGAGGTAAACAAACCTTGAGAAAGCTCTTTACCCGAAAACTACTAGTCGAGTCAGGGCTTATGGCGAACTGTCATTTGCTTTTGCAACGTTAAGTGGTGTCCGTCTAGGCTGTCCACTATCTCCATTTTTGTTCAACTTCACCATAGACCTACTGATGGAAATAACGCTCTCATCGACTGAATTTTCAGGCATTGATCCACCAGGAGGTACACTTATCGGCTTAGAATACACAGATGACACACTCCTGTTTGGTGAAGATACTGATACAATGCAGTGTCTTTTAGTAGCACTGAGCAACAATGCCAGAATGTTCGGGATGCGCTTCTCCTCCTCTAAATGCAAGTTGTTGCTCCAGGATTGGCCTGCGTCAGTACCTGAACTAAGGATAGGGAGTGAAGTAATCGAACGTGTCGACAACTTCGCTTAGCCTGGAAGTCCGATCAGCCCTGATGAGCGGCTGTCTGACGAAACCTCTGCACGGATTCAGAAAGTTCGTTTGTCTTTTGCCAACTTCCGTCACTTATGGCGAAGGTGACATATCCGTCTCTCAATTAAGGGACGAGTATACTGCGCAGGAGTTCGCTTTGTTGTTAAGGGCTGCGAAACGTGGCCGTGAAGAGTCGAAGATACTCGTAAGCTACTAATATTTGATCACAGATGTATTAAAGATACTGCTTGCATCTGCTGGATTACCGGGTAAGTAATAGTGAGGTTAGACGTAAGGCATTAGGGAATGATGGTAAGTTAGTTGGTGAGGCTGTGAATATTCAGGGACAGAGATGGTTGGGTCGCGCGTTACGTATGCCTGAACACCGATTATCACGACGCGCAATGCTGACTAGTGTTGGAGACGGTTGGAAGGAATTTATGGGTGGCCAAATCAACACGTGGCATCAGTCTTTCAAGTCACTGACTCGTGGCGTGAGCCGTGTTAGTAGATTCAGATCACTTGGTCGAGGCTCACGCGACTATCGTAACCAATGTATGGAGATTCTTGATGACATGACTCAGAATCGATCACAATGGCGTAGGTGTATACAATCTTTGTTTATCCCTTAAACCGTGAGATTAAAATCGTTTTATACCTTTCTTTCTATGAACTAGTTCTTTCTCCCTGTATCATGTCTGTAAATGAAATGTTTTTTTTACAATCATTTAAGTAACCGCTACGAGTTTGGTGTTCATCTTGTTGTGCTTACGAGGTGTGGCATCTTGGCCCGATGCATATATGTGCCTGATCTTACGTTGTAACTGGATGACTGACTTAAACTAATGCACATATGTGTCAGGTTCCGCGCGGCTTATAATTGACTGATGGAAATATTTGGAATTAAACAGTGAAATGTATTATTCAGTTTGTATAAATTTACTTAGAAGCTAACATAGAAA